GTGTATACTCTTGAAGTTATTGACATGCATGTTCGATGTTTCCATATGTTGCACTTTTCACACAGTAAGCCATCCTGGTTATCCAGTACACTGTTACTGCAAATATCGCACTTGTCCGTGTTAGTCATACTGGCAACCCTGTCTTGGAATTTTGTTTACAATCACACGTTTGTAGCTCTATTTTCGTAATTTTAGCTATTGCCTTTAATCACACTTAAGCTACTAACACTAAATATCCCAATTAGGTATGCCAATTTGATTTATTTCGTACTCTTTACTTTTTAAATTGATGTTAATATTCTCTGTTCACTACTGCTCAACCATACAATGTTGCCATATCTTGCGTATGAGTTCAAAACCAATGTTGCTAGTGTTTCAAAAAATCTAATTTGATACCTTCACAGACTTGTGAATACTTAGGATTCATTTATAAGTTGAAGTATGACTATGTACGTATCGGACGATAAAAAAGAATCCTTAAAAGAAAGTATAAATACATTTTGTATGAGAGAAGGCTGTAAATTTAGAGAATTTTCAAGAATAATAGGAATTCTGATTTCAGTATTTCCCGTGGCCCAATGCGGTTGGCTTCACACAAAAATTTTGGAACACGAGAAATATCGAGCGCTTAAAGAATCGAATATGAGTTATGATTCAGCTATGTATATTTCAGACATTATTCGTAATGAAATTTTTTGGTGGAGACTGTTACGATAAATTTATCATTTACATAACATGTTCCATCTCTTATTTTCATTATAAAGTTGTATTTTTGCCATTTCAGAATCAGCAAAATAATAATTCCTAATTTAGGTAATTTGAAAGTAAAAGAAAATTTAATTGGTTCAAGATAATATCAGTACTGCCATCTATCCATCATAAGCATAAAATGCAAATGTCTATTACTAATTTACCAGTACTGCCATCTAGTACCGGATGATTTTTTTTTTTGTGATAGTTTTCCTTAGCTATTTGTATTATTTCTCATTGACAGTCATTGGTATTTTTATTTGAAAAAATAATATTTATCTCACTCTTAGCAAAGCAGATATATTGCTGCCTTTCTCTAACTTCTGATTCTGAAATAATTATTTTTGGCCTAATGACCTAGTTAATTAGCGGTTTCTTTTGTTTTGAACATAACCTTAATTTAAATTATTATAATTTGTGAACAATTAAAATAATTCTAGCTGATTTTTATTTATTCTCTTTTATTCCACGTAGCTTTTCATTGGTCTTTTGAGTCTAGTTTTCTGATTGGTTGATCTGGTTAATACGCAGTTAAGTATAAAAAACACAAGATTGGTTTCCTATAGGGTTTGGTTTCTAGAACGTTCTCTTTCTCTGGCAGTGCTCTAGCAGGCGAGTCATTTTTATTTTTAATAATTTTTCCTTCACATTTTTAGATTCTCCCTCATAATTTTTCAATATATTTTGTCATCAGTGCATACTACCATATCATTATTGAGTTTTTACCTGAAAAATCTCATCTTATCTATTTTTGAAATATAAATATTATATTTTAATTTTTCTTATCTAACTGTGGGCCTCCATTTTGTGTGCTTGATGGTTCCACGTTTTCTGAGGTGAGTCAATTCAGATTTTTGGGCTAATAGATAGGTACTGCTGCTCTGGTTTTCAGAATCAATTGTTAGTGAGGGATTATTGGACCATATTTGCTCTAAATAGAGTCGGTGAAAACCAAATTTGTGTGTCCATCCCTATCAACTCTTTATTGAATCCAGGCAGAGGCCTGTATAGCCATTTTCTGTTTGACTCCATCAATTATTATCTTCTCAAAGAGAAGAGTGTTGAAAAAGGGTATAATTTTCTAAAATAGAAATCCAGACAGGTCAAATATTCATTTAAAAAAGTTTTAAATAAAACATCTCAAGAATTTTGACAGTTCCTGGATTTGATTGATTTCACCCTCAGGTTTATCTTGTAGTATCTACATATAGTAGCTACCTCGGCTTAAAAGGAAAATTTTGTCTATTTGGGGGAGAATCTAGAGATTCAATTTCTTTTTTTTTTTAATCTGATTTTATTCTCATTCTTGCCTGTTATTGCTACTGCCAGAAAAGCAGCACTCTGCTCAACTTTTTCAACATTTTAATTTAGCAGCAAAATTTCACTTTTCAAAGCTCGCCAACCGTCATTTTGGACAGATTTTTCGCAGACAACCCTATATCATTGTGTTCGCAATGAAATAATGTTTATTTTGATATAAGATTTATATATTAAACAGATGGGTGCAAATTACTAGTATCGACTCACCTGTTCAAACCTGTCAACCCAATAGTTATGCCAGGAAAAAAATAGACCACCCAACTTTTCTATATTCTGTAGGCCTTATACTTTCGATTAGTATAAAATTTGTCCATTAAACAAATGAGTGCAGTGCCTTTACCAATTATAATTTTTGAATTATTTATAAATCACAGTCTGGCCAAGAATTTCTTAGCCAACCCACTCTCGATATGGTTTCTAACATACCTAATTTGATATAAAATACTTTTTATCTATTAAACAGATGGGTGCAGAACCTCTCTAATACGGATCCTGTACTACTACGTGTGTGTATTCTAATTGGACAAGTATGTCGAAATATAATATAGAACGAGCTTCCTACAGGTAAGTCGTTTGTTCTATTAATTATTATTTAAAAAAAAATTGTTAACATAAGGTTTTATATGTACTCAGAAAATAAAACAAACCAATGAGTATCATCAGGTGCCCTATTATGCCTAAGAACGGATTTGCAAAATGTATCGCCAAAACTTTCAAATTTGTCTAGTTATTGTTTTAAAAACCAATTAGCATTCTGAATCCTAGCAAAAAAAGCTTGAATCTACAATAGGGAAAATCTACATCCGCATCTCCTACAAAGTGCATGGGGTTCTAAAGGGAAGCACCTTAGGAAAATCTCCTCGAGTTGAGTCCTCGCTGGAGGTAAAAGTGGAAGACGTGTCGATTCCTGAGTCGCGATGCGAGTCTTGAGACCCTTGAGATCCCTGACGACCATCCTGATGGTCGAAACGTACAGTTTTCTTTCTTCGTTCGGTAAAACCACGATTGTCTGCCGTTACGTCTTGTAGCGGTCGGTGAGGGGGTGCAACTATATAGTGACTCAAGGGTGGCCAGTCTTCGGGATCGTCTACGCCTAGAATTGGGTAGGAATGATAGCCTAACCTAGTTTTTTTTTTGTGTGACATGAAAATGGTGTGTCGTGGATGTAAGTTATATAAAATATTATACAGATTAATGAGAAAAAATTACCCTGCATCAAAAATTAGGCAAATAACAAACATAAGAAAATTCCTTGCCATAATTACAATTTTAAAAATATCTTAAGTTAAATAATGGAGGAAGTGAGAATGTTCTTGGAAGACAATTTGAATATTTTGTAGATGTTTAGTGAGCATAAACATCTACTAGATTTATATAGTAGATCCCAAATTCTGAGTGAAGTTAAATATTTGATTTATTATTTAACATCAGATATTCGTAATCAAATCAAAAAATTTCCAATGCAGAGAGAAAGAAGAAAAAAGTGCTGAAGCTGCGTGAAAAACATCACCATGCAGAATAACAACATCCAGCAGCCATCATAGTCGAGACTCGACCCTCACCGCTAAAAATTTTTTGATTTTGTCGTTGAGAATCGCCTGGCGGCTTAACGTTTCGGACAGTTTGTCGCCGTCGGAGCTTTCTTGAAGACTGCCTAAAAGGGTGACAAAATTATCCAACTTTTTTTTTATTAATCTTTTTTTTTTAAACCTGGGTACCTAGTTCCTGAAAACGAAATGTCAATAAAGCGAGGGCGAAGCGAAGAAAAGTAAACGTTAAGGAAAAGGGTGTAATTTTATTGATTGGTGTTTCATAATGCCTATGATTATGTAAGAATTATCGGATTATCTGATTAGGAGTTTTAACTTTTTTTTATACGGAGTGTTACATTTAATATCCGACATATTTTAAACTTTGTAATGGGTCTTCTTGAAGATCCGATATAAGTCAATGTACGTCACTGCTTAAAGTGACCTAAATCACCCCGAATACACAAACACCCCAAGATCGCGCGGGGGTCGACGACGCGACGCAGCTGCTCTGGGAGAAAATACTTTTTCATTATAAATGGAAAACCTGGTGGTCGAATGCGCTCTTTCGGAAACTTCTTTAATATTCGGTTTGCGGAAAGTTGTTAAAATATATATATTTTTAGAAGGGAACGAACGAAATTTTCTCGGACGCTGCTGCTGCTGCTGCAACTTGTTCCAAGTTTGTTCTTATTTTAGCATCAAGATTCGCGAAATTGCTTTGGTTGCGATAGGATAGCAATTATCCTAGAGTTTGGAATTAACACCTTTAAACACAAATGTTTATGATTTTTGTGTTAGTTTAATTCGATTGTACTTAGTTTGAAGAATCTGAGTTCAACTATTCAATATTCACTACATCATGATAATAGTTCCAGGAAAATTAAACATCCATATTTTGTCAGATTTATAATTTGTGATTTTTCCTGAATGGGAACGAATTTATTTTTAATAGCAAAAACTGATTTATCTGGGAAAAATTTTACAAAGTAACACTCTGTATAAAAATAAAACAGCGAACCAATCTATAAGAAAATCTATTGCAACTCACCTTTCTAACAAGCAACCAAAAAGAAATGGATATCTAGATATAAAGACAGTCTAGAGGTAAAAAATAGAGGTCTGCAGACTCTACCGCATGGGAGCAACAACCTTATGAAATTGTGTTTAACTTGGTATAATACTAAATAACGTCTGTTCCACCGCCGCAATAACGGGTCATAATTTTCTGCTGTGTATTTTATAATGAGCCGCGATTGTGGATGGATAACGAGTAACGACCATATATTTGAAGATAATTACAGTAATTTCGAGGACCGAGCAGAGAAAGTTATGATATTGTCTTTATCCATCCACCTTTATAGTGTATGTTCTTATAATAAATTGTAAAAAAAATCGTACCTTTTTCGCTGTCACGATCACTACCGTACTCTGGAGTACTCTTCAAATCTTCCTCCGAACTAGAGTAGGAATGTAGTTGCAATTGTGGCGGTGGTGCCGATTGGTGCTGCTGGTGCTTCGTTTGCCTTTTGTGCTTTTTCGTGGCACTGGCTTGACCCTGTAGCCTTTCTTGTCGTAAGTCCGGCTGATTGGCCGGATTTTGTTCCGGGTAACTACAAGAACAACGGAGAGGTATTTTAACTTGATTATATATGCATTTATATCTATAAATTTAGTTTTCCTAAGAACTTTTCAATGCTTTAAGATTGAAGACTGGTTACCAAGATGGTTTAATTTAGTGAGCGAAACTATAAACACAGCTTATCAGATGATAGGATTTATCCAGAGTAAATTGGATGAAATGAAAATAGTAAATGAAATGAAATGAGATAGATTTCAACATAACTCTAAGCTTGAAAAAAGGTCGATTAAAGAATTATGTCGCCCAACATTGGTTCCTTATCCTGTAACATTGCAAATGTCACTTGCTTTTTTTTATATATAATTTTTAGTTTTCAGCCATATGGCGGCATCTATTGCCGGCTGAATTAATTATTTTACCGTTGACCTCGAGAAGGCCATAGGCGCTTTCTTCCGTACTACCTTGATCTACTCGACCCTAGTACTTTGTTGCTCTTTAACTTCGTTGATAGTTTTCGAACGTAGTACTTTTCACATATTTAGCTGAGGGTTGATAGGTTGGTCCTTCAAAAATGTCAAGTGAAATCTATTTATTTTAAGGCCGCGTTAATGGCCGCCATGTTTAAACTGTGATTGGTTGATTTTTCGAAACTTGTTTTAAGGTCTTTAAAAAAACGACACATCAAAATTGGCTCAAATTTGGCATAAACATTATTTGATCAATTATCTACAATTCCTTATTTTGGTTTTCCGATATTCAGCCTTTTTTTTTAAATACAAAAATCATGTTCACAACCACCAAAACAATTAAAAGTATTGGTGGTTGCATATTTGCATATTTATCAAGCTTGGATCCGTGAAAAGCATATTTTATTGATAACCACGAAAAGCTAACAAAAGCTAATGGTAGAGATTGTAGATAATATATCAAATGTTTATACAAAAGGATTTTGGCAATTATTGCGGATTTTTTGAGATGACCTTAAAACGAATTTTGAAGGTGAAAACAGTTCAAGCAATTTCAAGTAGATGGCGCCACGGCAAAAAAGCTACATTGAGAGCATCATAATTATATATTTGTCTTTTTCTGTCATTAAGTGTTTCACCGACAAACAGATTTTGTTTTGGACAAAAAATTAAATTTTGAACCGTATGTGTAGAGTGACGCAGTCGTCATTTTCAAAAACTAACTTTAAACATGGCGGCCATTAACGCGGCCTTAAAAGAGAAAATTGAAGAGTCTCTTTTCTAATCTGGCCCTTGTCCTGAGAGCTCGACTGTGGCTTAGGGGGGCAGTCATTTTCCTTAAGTGTAATTACCGTTCGCGTGGAGAAAAGTACCTTATCGGCCCTCAGGCATTATCGTAACGAAATTGTGAAAACCGTTTAATTCAAGTTTGAATTTCGACCCAACTTGTGGTAAGTTTCTTTTTTTCAAGTAATGGTTGTTCATGGAATGCCTTATTACTCAGGGTCTTTCGGAGAATCGCTTCTCTCAACAAGTCCATTTCAAAAAAGACACATTTTCAATAGTAACACCATTTCCGTGGAGTATGGCATAGAGTTTTTGAAGGGATTCCTACCCTACAAGAATCAAGACACTCACAAGTCGATACGTGTGCCCCACATTTGACGACAATCCTAGTCCCTTATCTGCCTGGATTCTGGGCTGGAATCCGCAAGTTCCATGAGAATGGATGGCTACCGACTAACGTAATCTTCCTTTCTGTTGCAATTGAGGCTTGTATAGAGTTTCGTTAATAACTTTTATATCTATTCTTCTGAATTCTGTTCTATAGTCAATTAACATAATTAATTGAATATTAAATTTTTACCAACATTACCTTTAAATATTTGAAGTTTCAATTTCATTCATTATTCTTGACACCAGAGTGAACTCTATTTTTTAATTTTTGATTTACCGTATTTACTATAGATTACCCTACTTAACGTCTAGTACCGCCATATTTAAAGAATCTACTTATATAAGCCTATGTATTAAAGCTTATATAATAATCTGAACTGAGGTCAAGGTTGGATAACATGCCCTAAATTTAAACTTAACGTTTAACGTTTAACCGTTATATGTTTCGATTTCTTTCAGGTACATACAAATTGATTTTATCGATTTTTTTTTTGCAGAAGCTGACCATATTTGTCAATAGAATTATTTTTTAATCATTTTTTTTTTTTAATTAGATTTCTGGAAACTTGAATCTTTATATTTTCCTTTCAAATGGATGATATGGCCAGCGACTGTTAATGAACTTATATGGCAACTATCTTGAAGTATATTGTATTATAATTTTTTTTTTTGAATTTTATGAGACTGATTGAAAGTTCACCTTTTTTTTATTGATTTTATTTGAAGTGTTTTACCAATAATTGATTTTATATTTTGAAATATTTCAATGCTGAATTTTTTACTGACTGTGAAAATATATACTATTTTAATTCGAAATTTTACTTATTTGTTTTATTGGTTTACCTGTACGTCAAGATTTGAGTTGTGTGCATTATTTATTTCTTTTTCAGAATTACCAATTACCGTTTGCTGATTATTTTCTAGGTGTGTTTCTCAATTTTCACCCTTCCATATTTTAAGCAATTTTATTATTATTTTTTTTTTTTTAATTCAGTGGCGCCCTTGCCATTCTGTACTGATTAAACTATCAACCCACACCTAAAATTTTTCGCTGAGCAAACCGAGCATATTATGGGCCTCTTGTTAATTCATTAACAGAAAAGGTTACTGAGAAAAGTCCCAAAAGAACTAATCACCGAGAGAGAAAGGTTTCACGTAAAATATTTAATTAAATAAAATAAATTAATAATTGTTCACATACATTCTGGGTAGCAAGTGTGGGTGCGCTCGCATCAGTCCTTCTAACTCTCCTTGATAAAATCTCGGGTCTTCTTCGTTGTAATTTTTATATCGGTCACAAGAAGGTGTACGAGATTGTTCTTCCGAGTATTGCCTTCTTAATACGCTGCCGGATCTTAAACAAACAAGTTTTCAAGTAATTGAAAATGATAATTCACAAGTCTACCTTTGTAACGGTTGATTTTCTTTCTCAGCTGCCGAATGTGCTCGTTCTAGTTTTGGCCTTTTATCCGATTGCATCACTGAAGCCATCATGGCAGCTTCTGGATCTGACATGACGGCTTGCATACCACCTTGCATCCATTGTCCCGTTCTGCCAAGTAGTTCTTGCTTTTTGCGACAAAGGATGCATACCCAGACCGACTGGAAAAAAAAAAGAATGCGTAATTAATCTATCTATATCTATAAAAGTTTTGTTTGTCGTTGGATGACGTATGAACGGAGTACTTAATCTAAATTGTTAAGGTTGATGCATGATGTATTTATGTTACCATGCTGATTTACGTATGTTGGCTCCCTTTTTATTATAGTTATCGTCATTCATAAAATAAAGTAGGACGTCACGTTTATTTCACCGGAAACTATGAACAGCGTTGTGCAATCAGCTAACATAATTTTGGGAATATATCATCATAATTCGTAGAATACACTATAATGAATTAATTTACTAAGTTTTAAATACAATGTGCCACCCACGAATGGATCAATGAATAATTAGTTTGAAAATAAATCAAACTAGCCATATAACATTATTATCATCGAATCTCGAATCCATAAAGTCATTATTCGACTATTACACTATGAGCACTTGGTAATCAATATTCAGCGTTTTTGTGCAATCGGCTAACAAGAGAGGATTCACAGTCCAGCTGTTGGAAAGCAAGTGCTGAGATATAACTCTGGTCATTAGCGCACTAACGAGATCAAATTGTCAGCGCAAAATACACTTTGATAGAGACGTTTTTTTCCCCTATTTTAAAATGCATTTTAACGTCATACAAAATAATGTTTTGGAAAATACCCCTTTTGGCCTCATTTACATGTAGTGTGTACTAAAAACATGGAATTTTATTGAATTTTCAGGACATAAATAAGTACCAAACTGAGAAAAGTGTTTCCGAACTAAATTTTATGATGTTTCAAACACGTGTGTTTGAGATAAACTTTCTCTGTTAACATTGTGCGTGACAATGTCAATTTGTCGTAAATCAATTTGTCGTACGTCAATTTATATCGTACAGTCAATTCGTCGTGAAGTCAATTCGTCGTAAAGTCAATTCAATTCGTCGTAGGTATGTCACTTCATCGTAGCGTTAATTCGTCGTTTACGTCAATTCGTCGATAACGTCAATTCGTCGTATCGCTAATTCGTTGTATAGTTAATTTGTCGTACACGTCAATTCGTCGTATTTCAGGTACAATGTTAGAATGTATAGATTTACACTTTTTCTGTTAATCAGACATTACCAAACTTACCGATGATAATCCGGTTAGTTTGGGTTAGTTTGCGATTTCAATCAGACATCACATTGCAAACTAACCCAAACTAACCGAGTTATTATCGGTAACTTTGATAATTTCTGATTAAAATTGCAAATTATTAACACATTGGCTACCACATGAGTCACCAGTGATGCATAAGATTCAGTCACTTTCATGCCGACAGGGATGTTTGACCTAATTTACCCCAGTACGAGCTAGTCGGCGTTATTTTAGGACAAATTGACATATACGACGAATGTAATTTTTGTAACTTGTTAAGTTACTTGTTCCTTTTTTTAGAAATTTAATTTTATATAACCCTGTTTAATGTCGACAATCTGGTGACTAACATTTGAAATAGAGGGTTACTAAATTTAAATTTGACGTACTGGTTAGTACCAACGTTTTCATTGAGAGGAAGCGCGGTATGCTCATCTTGTCCATTTTGAATTCTCTTCCTTTTCGAATTGTGTCGTCGAGCTGCAAAGTCGATCGGCCATCAGCTCGAGACAACCGTGCCGTAGAAAAATAAAGTACCTTATCGGCCTTCAGGCATTATCGTAACGAAATAAAGTTGCGTAGAGCAATAATCCATTGATTACCGAAAAAATTTACCATATTAAAAAGGCTCGTGATTACCGTTTAATTTAAGGTTAAATTTCAACGCCCCGCGTGGGTCTTTCGGAGAGCCGTTTCTCTCAACAAGTCCATTCCAAAAAGGCCACATTTTCAAATTTACACCATTTCCGTTGAGTGTGGCATAGACCTTTTAAAGAGATTCCTACCCTACAAGAATCAAGACCCGCACAAGTCGATACGTTTGCTGATTATTTTCTAGGTGTGTTTCTGAATTTTCACCGTTCTATAGTTTAAGCAATTTTATTATTAATTATTTTTTTTTTAATTCAGTGGCGCGCTTGCCATTCCTGATTAAACTATCGACCCATACCTAATATTTTTTCGCTGAGCAAACTGAACATATTATGGACCTCTTGTTAATTCATTAACAAAAGGGGTTACAATTTACGATGAATTGACGGTGGCCCCTCTGAAATATCGCCATCATCGTTAATTGCGTCTTAAATTTTTTGGGTTCGTTATCCTATGAATTTTCTCTTTTCTTATTCTTGAGTAGAAAGTTGTCCTAAAGCATCTACTTCAAAAAATGAAGCCCATAAAGGGTCAGATCAACATATTCCTAGGATTTTTGGACAAACAAACCCTTTCCACAGAGGAGATATAACCATACTTTTCCACATTTAGTAAACTAAAACTCACATTTTGCCAGATAATACCCAGATACTAGACGAAGATACTGGGCTGAACACAATAGAAGAAAGGGTTCCTGGAAGAAGAAGGATCTGAGAAAGTGTGGTATTAAATTACTGCAGACAGAACCTGAAGAATTCAATTAATTAGAGACGCTAATAGGGATCTCCGATTCGGCCGTCTAGGAAGGAGAAAAGTAAGCTTTGGCATCGCCGGCTTAACCATTTCGGATTCGTCATTTGCAACATCAACCAGAAATAATTGCGTTTTCACTATGTTGCAAATATCATAAGAGAGCAGGCCAGAGATCCTTGACATCCAAAAATATTCTTTGGACAGATGAAGCTACCCCTACTATCTCAGGAATGTATAACAGACATAACACTTATTTTTGATCTCTGAAACCACAGAAGTTATCAAACTATAAAATTGGTCAGAGATATTTCCATTTTCTCGTAAGTACCATTGAAAAACCTCTAGATGAATTACCCGTAAGGGCATATAGAAACATTATTTTGCAGCTAGATGGAGCTCCACCCCATGCAGTTCGCAATGTTGTGGAGTTTTGGAACAAAAACAACAACCGATACGAGGAGTGGATTGGCCGTAGTGGGAGTATCATAAATAAAATACATAAAATTATAATTTTACATTTTCTCAAAAATACAGGGTAGATAAATCAAATATTTGCCTGTGTTCATTCCTTGCTGGATGGCCCTGTACCTAGCAATAATTAAAACTGGATCTATAGACTTCTCTAAACAGCAAAACACGCAAGCTCTTGGAGTCCAGATTAGTAGATAAATTATACAGACTGATTATGAGAAAGAGGAAAAACCGCAAAGCTCGTCACTACATCTCTGTAATTTACCAATGTGTACTCGACGTGCTTTAACTTATAAATGAACAACAATCTCCCACACAATTGCTTAGTCTCAAAACTGTACAAATCATAATTAGGAATACAAACTCAATCCAATATTGGGCGAGATGTGAAAAGCAACGATCGCCGGTTCCCTGCCATGAATCGGATCCTTCTCTTACGTTTCACGGGAGCCCGGGCGCCGCGTGGGCAGCCCATTGTAAGCGTCGCGATGCGTGGGGCATTCGCTGACGTCACCGGGCAGAAGGCTGGCTGGGATCCGTCGCGACGTTGCCATTTGTGTTCTTGTTTTTCTTTGATATATTTCATTGACGGTCTGATAAAAAGTGTGAGGATATATATTAAGGGTGAACAATCGAATCAGGAATTATATTGAATCAAAAAAGACTCGAAATCATTGTATAAAACTATCGGTCTATACGTTCTACGTCTTTGGATTAACCAACCTCTAACCATCTTTGTCAGGTATCCTCAAGCCTCTGTCTCTCATTTCCTCGTCTACTCCACTTTTCCGGCTTTTTCTGGGTCTGCTACATCTACATTTTTTTCCCTGGTCACGCAACGATTTGGTTGGATATTCTACATACATGAACCAAATCAGTTGTTTGTCTAAGGGGTATCTTTATGTGTCTGCATTTCTTTTTCCACCCCTTATAAATGCTTGTTAGGATATTCCAAACAGTGTTGATGATATGCAGTATCCCAAAGAACCTTCTTAGCAATAAATTACGTCTTTCCCATCGTTTGTGTCGCACATTAGCGGTAAGTTTTGTTAGATGTGATAAGATTTATTTTATGTTTATAATTGAAAATGCCGATATTACTCATTACGTAAGAAAGAAAGAAAGAAAGAATTTGCTTTATTGTCAGAAAATTTTACAATTTTGTGGACAAAGCTGAAAAAACCCCATGTAACCCATGAATACTCAGGTTGGCAAAGACTTTGTTTGACGTTTATAAGTTGAATTATGCCATTTTTAACCAAAGAAGATCCTAATCCAATATTACCGTGACGAATTTAATTGTGATGCAAGAACAATAATTGTGAAACTAAAATTCTAATCAGGGGACAATAATGGGTCTATTGAACATAAAAGGGAAGGAGGAATTAAGCGATGCTCGAAACCTAGAGAAAATATTGGTAGAGTAAGGGTTATTATAACGTATCTTGACAATTTTAGATGATTTTACCTACTACTCAGTCATTTACCTACATTTACCTAGAAATAGAAGTTCATAAAATAAGATGTGATAACGGATGTGAGTTCTCAAGTATAAAACTGAAACTCTGGTGTAGTAAGAAAGGCATTATACTCCCAACTGTCCCCAAATGAATGGCAAAACCATCCTGGCAGGAGCACTTATATTTTACTCAAATTGTAGTGAAGCAGTGTATGCAACGATTATTTATTTTCTAAGTCCAAGCCTACCAAAATCAACGATTACTGGAAAAACTCTCACAGAAAACTAGATAGAAAAGCTGCCAGATCTGTCCTGATCTTCAGCTTTCAAGTTGTGAAGCTTTTGCAAAAACTCTTGGACATCTAAGAAACTATGAAGAAGTCAAGAATACATTGTGCCCAAAATGGTAATAGATTGTTTGACAAAGAAAAATAGCGAGCATTAATTTACAGAGAGGAAAAATTAAAAGATAAACAGAAATCCTCAAAGTTAGTTTACATGTTCTAGTAAACCTCATTACGTCAGGTTTCATAGTAAAATCAAATTACGCTCACCTTTCCAGATCTCAGTGTCACTTTGCCGCCGCATCTCGCACAGCATCGTATCGTGCAATAGTTGCAAATATGGCCGATACCGTCAGCAAACTTGGTTTTGAGACAAATGTGACAGGTGGCTTCCAACTCGACGCCGGCTTTCTTTTGTAGTTCGTTCCTGGCCCGAATTTGTTGTTCCAACGATTGGACCTCGTCTGCTTTCTTCCTGCAAAAAAAAAAATTGAAGAAACATCTTCATCAATAAAGTAATTCAAAAAATGATATAGTAATTTTTCGTACACTTGATACACAATTCGTAATGATATGATACAAATTTCTATACTTATTATAGGTCTATTGAAAATTTGCCAACTAAGAAAACAAGAAAATAAAATCAATTCAACCTACCCATACAAAAGACGATTGTAAGGGTATTTCTGTATCATAAAATATAGCTGCCGGGTCTGGGAAAACATTTATATCGCACAGTTCGATACCGACTAAAAAGAAAACACGTACAAAAATAGACGCAAAAGAAAGACATACTTGTAATACAATTAAGTGCAGCCAATGGAAATACGGCGATGAAGCATTATGCTTGTAAGTGTGATGATGTAAAGAAATCCTTTATTGGGGATTTTATTCTTCAATAAAAAGAGCACTAATTTTGGTCATTTAAACTTAAAAACGGCTCTAATTAAGTTGAGAATGGTTTAAATTTTCTCTCATTTGAGAGGTCTAGAAGAATTTATATTAGCTTAAATTGTGGGGAAACTTATTTAGAACAGGTCGAAAGTTACTGGAAATAATTCAAGTGAAGTTTTCGTATCAAGAACAACAGATCGATACAGGTAAATTAGCTAAACTTTGTACAATATCTCACCAAAAACAAGCCTAGAACCTAGCAGAAAATTACTACAATTCAAGTTTGAGTTCCAGTGTCTATTTACATTTCATGTCGTGCCAAGCGTTAAAATTTAACGTTTTAAATAAATTAAGCGATATATTTTTCAGGAAAGGGAGCTTTCCTTTACCTGTCCTGAAAATGCTGCCTTGCAGTTTAAATCTGTTCAGATAAAGTTTCTTGAAAATAAAGAAAGTAGAAAGTAGATCTCATTGAGAACTACAAAAAAGCTTATAGACTTACCACTCCACGGGTCACCGTTTTTGAGAAAATCGACTTCAAAACTTTCAATACATTTTCAGAGAAAATTCAACTTTGACAGCTTATATCTCGGAGACAGAAACAACTTGGAATATCACTAAAAAAACAATTTTGTGGGTAATTTATTGCTCTTTTGAAGGAAATCTGATTCGAGACAATCGGTTCGAAATTAACGAAGTTATAAGCGAAAAAGGGATCAAAATCTTTTTTATTTTTTTTCCGGGCTGACGAAGCGTCGGAGCGAAAAACACCAAGAGACGTTTTCGACGTATTTTTGGCTCCTCTATCTGGTGATTATTCTCGTTTTTCAAAATTCAGAAAAATAAATGCAGGACATGTATGCACCATTATACGCCCTTTTCCAAAATTGGGAGGATAGGAGCCAAAACCCCTCCGGTAGGTCGGAGAGGGCTGAAACCTGGAATATCAACTTTTCTGGTTTCCTTTCACCTATATTCCGAATTTCATCCTAATCGACCAAAAAAAAAAATTTAGGGGCCCCCAGGGGGCATTGCTTTCCAGATAGGAGCCCCCGTATATTTTTTCCAATAAAACTCGTACTCCACTAGATTCGTACCAGATTTCAGCTCGATAGGACCATCGGTTTGCCCTTATCGAATTTTTGAAATTTTTTCCATGATAAACTAGGTAAAAAAAAAACAATGTATTGATACATCATGATATATTCATGTGATGTAAACATACCTATCATGAAAAGAAACGATACAAAAAATAATAATCCAACGACTTATTGAAAATACAGGTTTGAATAATACACAACAAAATATCCAAATTGTTAATATAGGTATAGCGAAAACAAAGAAAACATAAAACACACAATTTTGAAGTTAATATTTTTCTACCTACCTACTACATACAATACCTAAATGATTAAAAGGGCTCCGCCCTCATAGAAAATTCACTATGGGGGCTCAAAGCTCACATTGCCCCCATGGTTCCAGCGCCTATGTTCGCTGGCTTTTCCGAGGTGATTGTTTATGACCAGATGGTTAGAAGTTGTTGGTATATTTTTATAGGTAGCACTTTCTTTCCTTGTAATAGGTACCTTGAACCTTGGTAAAATATTTTGGACGAAATTTTATTGAGGCATAATTAATCTAAATCTTTCTATTAGTTTTAGAACGATTGTAGAATAATGACTATTAGTCCAATACCGTTGAAAATGCTTTGTTATTCAAGCAGTAAATTGAGTGATGCCTCTTTGCAATCCCTTATGAGACTTGATAGGCCTCGTCCATGTAAAGAACAGTGAACATTTTGTAAATTGTCACACAACTGGAACTTTGAGTAAAATGACACGCATTTCATTAACAGACAATCCTGATATCATCGCTGAATATAAACCAAAGTTATCCTAGAGCGAATCGATAACCCAGACATGAAAGAGATTTAATTTTCTCTTCACCGTTTCTCTTATATAGACCAAGAGAAGATTTGGCTGTAATTTTCTGCCATTCATATCTGGGCTATTATATTATTTGAGAGGAAAGAGATAATCTTAAAACCATTTTGCTTATGTATGTTCAATAACTTAGCTGTATATATGAGCCAATATACAGCAAACGATTTTGAGTCGTAGAAAGATTCATAAATATAGTAATTTGTTTCAACAAAGTAGAATTACACAAATTTCATTGCCAAACTAACTTGATGTCATCTCTAAATATACCAACGTTATTGTAGGGGAAATCGATAACTCAGACATAAAACAGATTTAATTGTTCCTAGACCAAGAAAGATCTTAAGTTTGATGCAGAATGCCATTCTTATCCAAGCAAATTATGTTATTCAATAGGATTAGAATAATTATTATGAAAGCGTTTTCACGTGTGGTTTTGTGTGTATTTTGCTGAACTGTTTATAGGCGGCGAACAATTTTACTAAATAAATATGTAAAAATATATAACACAGAGTCTTAACTTTGAGACAGAACTCGAATTTAAGGGGTGGTGGTTCAGTGGCGAATTGGGAACAAAAAAAATTCCAAAAGAGATTTCGGTTTTATTGGCGTTAAATGGCGGGGTGCCTGCTCTTGCCGTAAATGTTCCATTATTTCTCCTTGAGCGTTGATTGTGATCAACGCCCTACGGAGGCCGTACCTGGTATGCTCATTCATAGGGATTTCGTTCGGTTAGCGTCCTATCATTCTTCTGATCCCCAAAAAAAAATCGAATATCGCCCACATTGGGCGCCAAGATGAAACAGAACTCGAATTTAAGGGGTAGTGGTTCAGTGGCGAATTGGGAGCAAAAAGAATTCCAAGATAGATTTCGGTTTCATTGGCGCTAATTGGCGGGGTGCCTGCTCTTGCCTTAAATGTTCCATTATTTCTCCTTGAGCGTTGATTGTAATCAACCCCCTACGGAGGCCGTACCTGGTATGCTCATTCATAGGGGTTTCGTTCGGTTAGCGTCCTATCATTCTTCTGATCCCCCAAAAAAAACGAATATCGCGCCACGTTCGGCGCCAAGATGAAACAGAACTCGAATTTGAGGGGTAGTGGTTCAGTGGCGAATTGGGAGCAAAAAGAATTCCAAGATAGATTTCGGTTTTATTGGCGCTAATTTGCGGGGTGCCTGCTCTTGCCTTAAATGTTCCATCCTTTCTCCTGGAGCGTTGATTGTGGTCACCCTCCTACGGAGGCCGTACCTGGTGTGCTCATCCATAGGGGTTTCGTTCGGTGAGCGTCCTATCATTCTTCTGATCCCCAAAAAAAAAATCGAATATCGCCCACATTGGGCGCCAAGATGAAACAGAACTCGAATTTAAGGGGTAGTGGTTCAGTGGCAAATTGGGAGCAAAAAGAATTCCAAGATAGATTTCGGTTTTATTGACGGGGTGCCTGCTCTTGCCTTAAATGTTCCATTATTTCTCCTTGAGCGTTGATGGTGGTCACCCTCCTACGGACGCCGTACCTGGTGTGCTCATTCATAGGGGTTTCGTTCGGTGTGCGTCCTATCATTCTTCTGATCCCCAAAAAAAAAATCGAATATCGCCCCAGTTGGGGCGTCAATATGAGACAGAACTCGAATTTAAGGAGTAGTGGTTCTGTGGCGAATTGGGAACAAAAAGAATTCCAAAAGAGATTTCGGTTTTATTGGCGTTAAATGGCGGGGTGCCTGCTCTTGCCTTAAATGTTCCATTATTTCTCCTTGAGCGTTGATTGTGGTCAACCCCCTACGGAGGCCGTACCTGGTATGCTCATTCATAGGGGTTTCGTTCGATGAGCGTCCTATCATTCTTCTGATCCCCAAAAAAAAAATCGAATATCGCCCCACGTTCGGCGCCAAGATGAAACAGAACTCGAATTTGAGGGGTGGTGGTTCAGTGGCGAATTGGGAGCAAAAAGAATTCCAAGATAGATTTCGGTTTTATTGGCGCTAATTTGCGGGGTGCCTGCTCTTGCCTTAAATGTTCCATCCTTTCTCCTTGAGCGTTGATTGTGGTCACCCTCCTACGGAGGCCGTACCTGGTGTGCTCATCCATAAGGGTTTCGTTCGGTAAGCGTCCTATCATTCTTCTGATCCCCAAAAAAAAAATCGAATATCGCCCCACGTTGGGCGCCAAGATGAAACAGAAATCGAATTTAAGGGGTAGTGGTTCAGTGGCGAATTGGGAGCAAAAAGAATTCCAAGATATATTTCGGTTTTATTGGCGCTAATTGGCGGGGTGCCTGCTCTTGCCTTAAATGTTCCATTATTTCTCCTTGAGCGTTGATTGTGATCAACCCCCTACGGAGGCCGTACCTGGTATGCTCATTCATAGGGATTTCGTTCGGTGAGCGTTCTATTATTTTTCTGATCCCCAAAAAAAAGTCGAATATCGCCCCACGTTGGGCGCCAAGATGAGACAGAACTCGAATTTAAGGGGTGGTGGTTCAGTGGCGAATTGGGAACAAAAAGAATTCCAAGACAGATTTCGGTTTTATTGCGTATAAATACTGCTGAAATAAATGTTTCAATAAAATATAGAAAATAATATCAGACCTGACACTACGTAAACTATATCCAATAAAGGATTTACACAATATTAATATAATTTCGACACGAGAAGATGCCAGCCGTAGTATGTATACGTGAGAATTGATAATCTTTGAGTGTCGACCTAAATCGATCCCATTTTTTCCAGGTGTTAATCCGAACAAATCGCATAAAAAATAACTTCAACAAAAACTAAAGAATGTGTACCAGTTTGGGAACCCAGTTGGTACCAGATTTTGACAATCTGGTGAACCTTGAACATTATGTTTCAACCTTTATTTATCCCTAGATCTTTTGTATGCGGCCTGCGTCATACCATTTAGGTAAAACAAATACAAACTTGCCGAATTTAGAGACTGAACATCAAATGCTGGCTGAAATTTCGAATATTTACCATTAGTTACCTAATTTGTAATTGTAGGTTTTGCGATTTTTTGAAAATTCAATATTTTATTTAATTGCTCCTGCATGTATCAGTAGGCACAGGGTTATTCACTATATTTTGACCCCCCACCTGGAGAGGTAATTATAGGTGGTACAAAAGAAAGTTTAATACAAAAATTATTTGATTTTAAACAAAAAATTCAAATTTGTTATAATTATTTATACAAGGTGTCCCAGAAGCGGTACACAGCTCTCAACTTATAATTTGTAAATGGGACACCCTGTGTTTTATTTAATTTTTAGATTCTACGTTAAATTTTAAGACGGATCTATACAAGATAGAACTATCTTATATATTTCACCTTTTTGTAGCATCTGTAATTACCCCTTCAGGGTCTTTATTCTTGAAACAGGGGAGCACCGTTCCCAGGAGAACGAGTGTTCCGTCCTTGTTGCTTATATTAGCATTTCAATATCATTGAGAAAGACAGAACACTCGTTCTCCTGGGAACGCTGCTCCCCTGTTGCAAGAATAAGGACTCAGGTGGGGGGTCAAAATATAGTGAGTAACCCTGTACATATTATCTTGAGATGTCATTTTGACATGATCTTTTTGGACTAATAATCTGAATGGAACTTATGAATGTTAAATTTTAGAATAGGAAATCGTGTCTTATTACCTCATAATTTCCTGTTCCCTCTCCTCTTCCTCCTTCTGCCGGACCATGACCGATTCGATGATGGCCCGCTCTTCAGGAGTCAAGTGGGACAAATCCGGCCCTTCCTCCATGCTAGCCCCCGTCGGGCATCACCCCGCCGGCACTGCACTTTTACCCCTCCATTGAGTTACCGTCTCGTATTGGTCTTTTAATCATCATAGTTACCGGTTTCACTTTACTGAAATTCGTATAGAACGTTCCAATATATAGATACTAACTACTGTTGAGTGCAATTTTAACCTAATCCACCCCACCCATGATAATCTGTTTATTATTTGATAAAGCACAAAGTCGCATTTATCTGGTTTTGAAAAGCAAGTAGCTAATTTATTGCACCAAATATCATAGGCTCAGCTATTACATGTTGGAACAGACTATACAGTCAAATTTTTCTTACAAGTTATAACTTAAATGTTTTACTCTTTAGTATACACCAATGCCTAACCAGAACCTTAATAAGAAATTTTGTTAATAAATTACAACAAATTTGGGCATAAACCATTTCAAAACGTTTCTTCCATCTTGTAGGAGTTCTGTAATAATATTTTTTTCTCAATTCTCATCCAGCTCTCTAAAAGGTACAATAGATGGCTTTCCAGCATTGCTACGGAACATTCTTATGCAAAAATATCATCAAATATTTTGGGTAAGATTCCAATTACCCAAACTTCAACGAGTACCGTTATTCAGATGCATTTCGTTTCTGAGAATTCAGCTCGAAGGCGTTCATTTGGATTCAGGAAAGCAAATGCATTAATTTCTTAGTAAATGTAAGTGCTGGTATAAAGCTCATAGTGAAACCTAAATACTTAAATTATTGTAAAACACCCATTTACAGTAACGCTTCTACAGTAGAAGTTCATTTACGATAATAATTTGTGAGCAGCTTATAAAATCCACATAAATTAACTGAAGGCTCCAAAAAACACAATTCATGATTATCTCAGTGCCAGCCAATGGAAACTGCTCATAAGGGAACAAGAACAAATAAATTTAGTACCAGTAAACTTGGTACCAAACCTAAATTAGTAGAGATTTCAGGGACAAAGAACATAGTAGTAGAGGTAATCTACGAAATGTCTACAAAGAGGACATCTTGCAAAGGTATGTAGGTATGCGAGAGAATACAAATAACCTAAGACGTACCTCGGAAAAGAGAGTTAACAAATAAAATCAACTGGTCAATTCAATAGAAGAAGGAGGAAACCATCATTTGGGCATCAGAAGATGGAGAAGAAAATGTTCATAAGGTATTTGAATACATTCGATAGACGAAAAAGAAGGAATATGATACTGAAGCTGCTGTTACATTCTTTCCAAAAATCGTTCATGAATATTTTGAATGAAACCCTAGAACCCATAGGTTTGCTACAATTAAACTTATACTCCCACGGAAAAAAAACTGAGTACATCACCGGACTCTGCGTAAAATACTTAGTACATTTGGAAAGTTTTTACGGAAATCAATTATCTCTATAGATGAAAAAGTTATGAAGCTTTTCGTATTGAAAGTGTCCAAATGGGTCATTGAACAACCTTGTACAGGATGTCCCATTTTGTTGCATTTCGGGAGACCCCTTGTATGTCGGTTTTCTCGTAACTAATCGTAAAGGTGTCAACGGGTTCTTATAAATCTTTCTACGTAGACTTTAGGCAAAGTCAGCTTTTCTCTAGAAGTGATAGTTTTTGAATTATGAACCAAACATACGTTTTTTTTTTTTTTCAAATGAGAGACCCTGTATAATAATTACTCATTGAATAGCTCTGTTTAGTGATGCCGCGAGACTCGAGACTAGTCTCGTCTCGTCTCGACTTTTCGAGACGAGACTGGCTTTTGGTCTCGTCTCGTGAAGTCTCGACGAGACGAGACCAGACTCGGCGAGAGTCTCGTGTAGTCTCGAGTCTCGAGATTACCCTTAAAATTTTTCTTTCATAGCTTTATTATTGGACTATTCTGGGCTATTTGGATATGAAATCAGTAAATTAAATATCAGGGTTACTCTTTACTGTGATTTTTCACTAATTGCTTTTTCACTGTGGCAGTTTGGACTGCCGTTATCATATAAAAACAAAAACTTTTTAAAGTATTTTTCTGGGGTTCCTTGTAGAGTCCTCCACCACGTAGAGAAGAGTTTTTACGCTATTTTTTAGACACCCTGTATAACTCGAGACCAGACGAGACCACTCGAAACGAGACGAGACTTTGGTATTCGAGACCGAGACTAAATCACGGTCTCGTCTCGAGATGTCGAGACGAGACGAGACCAACCCTAAGTCTCGTCTAGTCTCGTCTCGCGGCACCACTAGCTCTGTTTCTGCTGATTTCAATGATATATAAAGTTCGATAGGTTTATCTCTATTATGTCTGTTTTTGTCATAAGAAACAATGTGTTAGAAGAGGACTTTATATCTGTAAGCAAAATTAGAAAAGTCTCTTTGTAACACATTGTTTGCTATGACAAAAATAGATTTAAAAAAAAAAAACATGAAAACTGTTGAAGATATACCTATATCCTGTTCACAATCCGATGTCCACAGGTGCAGGTAAATTTATCACCTTTCCCTATCAAATAGCATTGAAAGGTGATAAATTTTACCTGTACCTGTGGACATCGGATTGTGAACGGATAATACCTATCGAACTTTGTATCATTGAAATCAGCAAAAGCAGAGCTAGCCATTGGGTTATTAATATACAGGGTGTCTTATGTGAAAAAACGTATATTTGACAAATTTTTCTCATAATTTAAGAGCTATCACCTCTCAAACTGACTTTGCCACTAAAATCTACATAAGATGATCTATAAAAACCTGCTGTCACCTCTCCGATCAGTTATGAGAGAACCGAGATACAAGGAGTGTCCCAAAAAGCAACATTTTCAAAAACAACTTTTATGGGGCGATGACAGTTTGGTTGATGGCATCTTTTGTTTAACAAAAGAGTAGCAACTTTCGCGAAAACCGCATCCTTCCAGCTCCAATAGCAACCAAAATGGGACACCCTGTACATGCTAGAAATTGAAATAATATCACTTTTATGGAATATGAAAAAAATTGCCTGATTTTATCTACCAAAGTTACATAACAATATTTTACAGTAATAAAAGTTGGAAATCTTTGACCTAATTTTTCAGTATCACCCTGTATCGCTGCAATGGGAGAAAATGCTTATTTCAACTTCCAAAATAATATACTAAAATTTGAAAAAAATCTGTTGGTGACCGAAATTCATAAGAAATGTGAGATGTGTTATATTGGTTGTCTTCTTTTTTTTTTTGTAAATCGAACACGCTGTATCTTATTTTGTAGGGTTTCTTTCTTTGAAAGAGACAAACGTGACAATGCTTTTTTAGAGAGAACTACTGCAAACTTAAAATGGCAAAGGGTGAGACATATGACAAAGTGATAGGAATAGGTAAAAATCTAAAATTATAAGCGAATAAGACAACCGAGGTGGTCGAAGACGCAGGAGCACAAATCGACATGGATGAATGATTCAAGAAGGCATGTGTTCGGGAGTGAACAAACTAGAATTCCGGAATAAGAACAATCTATTTGAAACCACAACTTTATTTCACCTCGTTTTCTTAGAAAAAAACATCTAGAGCATGAATGAAAACCATTAATTCAGTGTAGAATAAAGCTTAATTATCGAAAGGTTTTTAGTGGCTGGGCTTCTTCATTATAAACTGTTTTCAAAATAAAGTGGATAGTTTTAATATTATACTAAAATCAAAAAACCCATTTCGATTTGTCTGCTGTTTCTAAAATGAATAGAGAGAATTGATTCAATTTCAAATTTATTCTGCTTGTCACCTTTTGCCTCAAATAATTTAAGTTTGAGTTTCTTCTTTTCTTGTTTCATTCATTTATTCAAGTGAATATGTTGATTTTAATTTTATTTCACAAACCAGTTTTCTTAAAAAATGAAACCAAACGTGAAGAAATGGCTTTGGTAGAGTAAAACACCTTAAAGCATCTTAGTACTAAAACAATAATAGCCTCAGAGGCGATTACTGAGATAAGATTTTGAGAGAAATTACCCCAAAGACAACTGAACACAAGCTAAGGTATATACCAGTATAATTTATCGAAGTGAAACACCCCTCGATCGGACAACCACCGAAAAACTGCACCACAGCATGCGGAATTTAACTCGCGTATCCACCAAACTCGTATCACTACTCGCTCGGTACGAGTCACTATTAACCGAAGCGTGTATGTGTATCGGGCCCGCTTATTTTTTCTGTTTCGGCTTGGTGATGGTGTCGAACGATCTACCGTCAAATATCACAGTTGCAATTACCCATTCATGGACTTTTAATAAATAATGGGACGAGTTAAGAGATGGCCAATGGCAGCGGCGGGCGTCGTGACGTCACGCGATAAGGCTATTGATCTAGCGGGCGGACAGGCGCCCCTGGATTTGCCCTATTCCAGGAATTTTGTGTCGTTTGAATAGGGAGCTCATACAGGCTACAGGTGAATCGAATTTTGTTGAAAACTGGCAAATATACGTGCTCGATAAATATTCAATAAATTCATAGGTTGCATTCCTGAACCATAAATGTTTAAAATATAGAAATTTCTAGGATAAACAAGAATCTAGCTTATTCCGCTCTTATTCCGCTACAGCTTTGGTATAGTATATCTCTATTTTCCTGCCACATTATCCTTTTCTAGATACACCCAAGTAACAAAGAAGGATATAGTTTGGGATCGTCTGGACGGTTTTATTACTGGAGAAGATGCGCCGTCGTCACAGGCAATCTCTGGGAAGATATAGCAGGGATCTATAGACAGGAAGGGGCGCGACTTGCCCTAGGACAGAGACTGATTAGACTTGGGTTTTATCTTCACGCAACGACAGGGAGGAATTTGGGGAAATTTCACTAGTAAATTTATTCTTTTAAATGTCCGCCTCTTTTTTGATTTTGCCAGTGAGATAAGGACTAGGTACGTAATGGTTATTTGAGTCTATACAATGATTCCAATAATTCGAATGGCAAGTGAAAATAGAGATGATTTTTTTGAAGATATTATCGCCAGGTCTATAAGGTATAGATAAAAAGCTGAAAATTGCAGTGAATCTTGTTCTAGTAGAAAACTACAAATACTGAATTTTAGGTTATTTGGACTCATAGTTCCAGAGATTAAATCACGCTGAGCAAAGAGAAGAGAATTTCCAGGGTTTGTATTGTAGTCCTCTAGTAGTCTAGTAGAATAAAATTCACGGCAATTCTCAGCTTTCTATCTTCAATATAATTAGAGATTATGCGAACTCTATTTTAATCATGATTCTAAATAAAAATAATTGTTTGAAGCAAATTTTCGCGCCATGTTGAGTTAGATCTGTTGGTTGGTTTCCTTCAAAAATGTGTATATGAATGGCATATTCTATGAACTGTCACATGCCCGAACAGCTTCCAAAAACTATTCCTAGTTTGAATTTTAAGTATTTTTATTCATTTATTTACTCATTCAGTACACTACAGAATAATAATAAGTTTTCTAAATGGTGCATACATGAAAATATGGTTAAAAAAAATAAGATATAGGACAAAATCACTAGTAGTACACATCAGCAAATATAAATTAAAATCTAAAGTTTAGAACAACGTTCAATCGTCAATAAGGAACAATTTAAAAGATCACACTTCCTATAATTTCTGTTGTAAGTAATTGCAAATCGTTCTGTCCACAAAAACTGTGAATCCATAATTCGTTCTGTGCGGGTGCTCATAAAAAAGTTGATGTTGTCTGGTTCGTCTGATGGGGACCAAAAATAATATTGATTCCAATAATGTGCTGCAATCTATCAAATTATTCAGGATTTTGTGAAGAATAATGAGTAGGGCGTGTTTCCGTGTCTGCTCAAGACTCATCATCCCACACAGCAACAGTCTGGTTTCATAAGGTATTCCAGATGAAGGAAAGCGGTGTTTATATAGTAGGTATTTTAGAAACCTGTTTTGGACGTTCTCTAGTCTATTAGTATGGATGGTATAATGTGGAGATCAGATGACGGAGCAGTATTCAAGAATGCTGCGTACAAGAATGTGGAGATCAGATGACGGAGCAGTATTCAAGAGTGCTGCGTACAAAGGCGTTGTAAAGACATGTAAGTGCCTTTATTGTGTCGTTGATGTGTTTGGTATTTCGCTTAATAAAGCCAAGTAATCTGCAGCTTTTGACAACAATATTATTGATGTGCATTTTGAATCTCAGTTTTTGATTGAACGTTACTCCAAGGTCGTTGATGAATTCCACATTATCAATTTGTTGACCACCAATCTTATATGTTGACATGTGAGGAGATGTACTCTTGTGAAATGTTATTGATTTGCATTTGGATATGTTAATTTTCAATAGGTTTGAAGAGCACCAAGAAGCGAAACTGTCAAGATCTGGTTACAGTGGGTTAGAAACTCCATTCCTAACATTATAAAATTTCAGGTCATCAGCATACAGGAGAAAGTGCGAGGAATGGAAGCATTTGGAAACATCGTTGATAAACAACAGGAAATGAACAGGTCTCATGTGTGATCCTTGGGGAACACCCGAGGTGACCGTGACGTTTTTTGAGGAGTAGCCACACACTTCATCCCTCTGGGTTCGATCTCCAAGATATGATTTGATCCATGCTAAATAGTTTCCAGAAATACCAATTTCTGATAGTTTTTTTATATGAAGGAGGTGGCACACGCTATCAAAATCCTTGGCTAGATCTGTGTAAATGGAGTCGACCTTGTGTCCAGCCTCAACGGAGGTTATTTAGAAGTTCTGGTAGACTGCTAGGTTGGATGCAGTTGAACGCTTGCTAAAGAATCCGTGTTGTTCTGGTATAAAGTAAAGTCTATAGGTTCCGAATATTTCCTCGGTTAAGATTGATTCGAATAAGTACTTTTGGAATGGCAGAAAGTATCGGTAGTTCTCAACATCGCACCTATCTCCAGACTTGAAAATGGGAAGAAGGAGGGAAAACTTCCACTTTTCAGGAAAAAATCCACAATCCAAAGATCGTTGAAAAATAATGCAAAGTGGTAAGGCTAAGGAAGACAACCAACCTTTCAGAAATATAGCTAGGTCCCGACAGAATGGACCTGCTTTTTTGGATATGTCCAGCAGATTTTACTTGTCTGTAATTTCCTGTGTCTGGAACTTATGAGATGATAGGGTAGTAGCAAACTGGACAGGTTCAATGGATGTCATATCTAAGTCATCGTGGCTGGAGTAAGATGCTTGAAAGTGTGTGGCGAATGCGTCAGAGCCGTCCAATTGCAATCTTTGTACTTCATCTGCGCGTCCAATTGCAATCTTTGTACTTCATCTGCGTCGGAAAGTTCGAGTTCCTCTTTAAATTATCGATAAATGACCAAAAATGTTTGACTTATTGAGGAATCAGGTGCTCAGTGTTGGTAAGATATAACATTTAGCACATGTCAATGCGGACTTTAGTCTCACGACGAATTTTAGTGAAGGCTTCATAGTCACCTTTCAGTCCTGATTTTTTGTATTTCTTATATAATCTATTTTGCGCGATGCATTTACGAAGTCCTCAATCATACCATTTAGGATATTTATCGCTCTTTGTTGTTTTCTTTGGAACTGAAAGGTTAATACCCTGAAAAAGGGTTTCATAGAAGAGAGTGATCATTGTATCAACGTCGGTTATTTAGGACAAAACAGACCAGTTTGCCTGCTCATAAAAGTAGTAATTGGCACGATGAAAATCAAATACTTTGACCTTAGTTCTGACACTTAACGTCTTGATCTGTCCCAGGGAGAAACAAGTTTCGACGGCCGGGTGGTAAGCATCCATTGCCACCAGAGGGTCAGTACTGGGTGTGATGCAGAGATCAATGAAGTCGTCGACGAAAATTAGGTCCAGAGTTCTGCCCAGAGGATTCTGAACGATGTTCATTTGTTGCAGTTCAAGAAAGTACATGGTATCTATGAGCACCTCAGCAGAAGCTGATGGTAGTTCTTTAGGCACTATTGTGTTGTCTTCAAAGACCTACTTAATTGATGGCAGGTTAAAATCACCAAATATAAGAAATCTGTGTTTAGAATAACAGGTGTCACAGAAAGACTGATACCAATCGACCGTAGAGTTGCGGGAAAAGTAGACACAGCCAACAATAATTTTACTTCCGTCGTGATCCAGCTGAACCCAAACATCCTCGTAAAGGTTCCCTAGTGTACCAATTAGTACTCCGCCCCCACGTTGACTGCCCAGCTCATTATAGTTCCTATCTCTTCGAAAAACTGTGCACTGGGAGTTGAGTAATTCAGCGTTGTAGAAAGTGTCATTCAGCCAGGTTTCGGTTAATGCTATTATTTCGAAGTTACATTACACAGGACGATGATCTTATAATTTCGTCAGATTTAGTCCTTAGACCATGAACATTCTGATAAAAAGTGGTTACGAGGTTACGACGATTTTGGATGGACTTACAAAATCCAGGTTTAAATTTGAGGGGTTGCTTGTGTCATTTTTGAAATTAGAAGAAATGTGTATTAACGGGTCAGAGCACTGCGAGTACATGCCCCCAACTCCAGCAGTTATCTTTTTAGTTACACAGGATGGGCGAATTTTTGTTATTCAGTCTATAATCCCATCATGACTGACCAATAGCAGAGGCAGAAACAGAACATTGGCACCACTGTCGTCAATAATGTTGGAAATAACCTGATTGTGGTCGTGGATAATTTGATTTAGGACTGGTCTGTTGGTATGTAAGGGTGGACCAATAAGTAGTATTAGGTTTATTTTGTAACCAACTTCCAGTAAGGCCTGAATAGTCGCCTTCTTGATTGAATGCTCTTTAATGGCGTTTTCGGAGCCCTAAAACAATATGACATGGTCGTTGAAAGTAAGGTTTTTAGAAAGTTGGAGGCAAAGAGAGACGGCATCTTCAAATTCAAGGCGGTCAGACCACTGGCAGTTAACGAAGCGTCGATTGGAAAACCGTTTTATCATTCCTGATAGTCCGCGAACGTTTCTGTCTCCAATGATTAAAAGCTGATGCGTTTTGACAACAGCCTTCGGTGTTTCTGCTTTATCGATTGAACAAGTGCCACTGTGTAGGTTGTGTGTGTGTGTGTGGTCTTTAATGATAACTTAGGTTCCTCAAGCTCAGAGAGATACGTGGCTCTTTCTAGTTCCAGAGTTCTGATAGAACTTATTATACTTTGGTTTAACGCAGTTAACTCTTCCATTTTTAGAGTCCATTGGGAGAGCTCGTTCTTAGCTTCCAGCAAGTTTTCTTCGAGCAGGGAGTTTTTTTTGTCAAGTTCGAAAATGTGTTTGTTTAATACACAGATTCTCTCCCTTTTCTTCTTCAGTTGTGTTGAACATTCTTCATCTTTCTGATAATATATAATAAAGAGCAGTCATTTATAGGTCCGTTGCGAATTTTACTCTTTAAATCATCTTGTAAAACGGAGTTTAGTTTACGTAGATCGACGATTAGCTTGTTCAATTCACTGAACCTTTCATTTTGTTGCTTGAGGTGATCGATGTATTCATGCTCACTCGCAAAAACACTCTCTTCAAAGCCCACTGTACTACGTTTCATTCTGTTGATATTCTTCCTTCTTTCTACTGTCGACCTGAAGCTTATGATTTTCACTCTCTAGTTCAGCAACTCGCTGGCTGAAATGCCCAGTTCATCAAAGTTCTGCACCTTTATTGTTAAGTTCCATTTTGCTTTCCTCAAAATGACCAAGAATCTTTTTGAGGTTTGGCACATCCTTTATGAGGGGCATACATTGAGGACAGTGATAAATAAGCGTTCTCTGTGCGAGCTTCCGTGGTAGTCAACGGTGAACAGTCAATACAAAAAGTATTTTTGCAGGAGTCACATGGCGCTCCGAATTTTTCATCAGCATTGAGCCTAGATTTATGTTGTTTTATAGCTATGGCAGTTAGGCATTTTAAAGGCCGACAAAATTTTGAGCCCTTTAGACTCTCTATACGGTTCCTTATTGAGAATCTCCATAGGTGCATAAACTGACTCTATTCTGGGATCTGTAACGTACCCTGAAGGGCTTGATACCTTAGGATCAGAAATGATTTTTTAGAATCTCGTGAATAACCATATTCGAAATTTGAATTCGGAGTGTTTTGAGACCTTTAGACAAACTAGAGTTCCTCAATAATCTTAATTATAGTGCGGCAAATTCTTGGAAAGGATTTTTTTGAATCTCATAAAACTATTGAAACTTCAATTAGGTAGGTACCTATTTGGGGCTTTCTGGATACTTTCGATCCGGATGGATGCAGATATCTCAAATACTTTTCTACATAAAATATCTGAGATACAAGATACAGTTAGTTTCTTTTGAAAAGTGAGGAAGATACTATAGACTATAGACACTTTTTTTATCTTAATTACTCTAAAGTCAGTAGATGAGATACTTTTTTCTGACAGCTCTTATTTTCATCCATCAAGGTCTTCGAATACTTCCTTTTCATCCTCCTAACACGACAGTGGAGTAGGAGTAGATAACATTATTCGTCTATTTTTACCGGTCTTGTTTTACCGCGCACCAACGCTACCTCAACTGAACTGCATTGACTCATTACACAATGTCTGTTATCTACGTTTTTCTTCTTATTTCTTCATTCATCACCCGGTCCTCCAAACAGAGGTAGTCAAGACAATAGAAAAAAAGTTATGAGTCTTCAAAATTTTTAAAAATCCAAATCATAAGGTACCTTAGTAGGTACTAAAATGATGAAATTTCAAAAAAAAAATTATGTTAATTTTACGTTTATAGGAACAGTTGGGATCCCCTAAACTCCATACACCAAATTATTCTGGGAAGCTGAAATCTATGAAAAAAAAACACTCAGAAAATTGAAAAATTGATAAATTTGGGTCTTCAAAGTTTTCAAAAATCCTGATCATAAGGTACCTTAGTAATACTAAAATGATGAAATTTCAAATTTTTATATGTTGAGATTTTGTATCTAAATGATCATTGGGGACCCATCAAACTCCATACACTAAATTATTCTGAGATTTGAAGCCAAAATCTATGAAAAACGGTCGTCAGAGAATTGAAAAGTTGATAAATTTACCCCAAATTGCTTAACGCGATTTTATTTCTGAAACTATAAGTCTAAATGAGCTGAAATTTCCAAGGATTGTAGTCCTCTACTGCGATAAGAATCCCTGAAAATTTCCGCTTTCTATCTTTAATAGAAAAAAAGTTATGGGTCTTCAAAGTTTTTAAAAATCCTGATCATAAGGTTCCTACCTTAGTAGTACTAAAATGATGAAATTTAAAATTTTTGTATGTTGAGATTTTGTTATAAAATGATCCTTGGGAACCCATTAAACTCCATACACTAAATTATTCTAAGATTTGAAGCCAAAATCTATGAAAAAAAGACGTCAGAGAATTGGAAAATTTTTAAATTTACCCCAAATGAACTGAAATTTTCAGGGTTTGTAGTCCTCCACTGGGACAAGAATCGCTGAAAATTCCAGCTTTCTATCTATAATACTAGTCAAGACGTATTTGATTTAAAATCGTCTTACCTACCATTATTTAAAAAAATACTAGATAACTCCTTAATTCTCCCATTGTCTTCTCAATCCTTCTAAAAATTCCTCTCATGGCACAACCTCACCATGCATAGTTAATTATTCTCTTTGGTAACTCTATAATATAAAAGCTGACCACGCTTGGTCCAATTTAACACACACGGTTAGAAAAAATCGCTCTTGGCAAATGCAGTGCCAACTGACCTTCCACCCTATAGCTTTCTGAAAAGATGAGGAAAATATTGTAGCTGGAAATGTACCTCCTACTGTGCTCTAGTTTCGATTTTATATTTATCCAAGACAATAGAATAATGGATGGGTTATTATTTGTTATAGAAATAAATAAAACAAATAACTGTTAACAAATTATAAAAATTTATTCTAGAAAATTCTAAGTGGATAACCTACATATCTTTGGAACAGATAACCCACAGGTAACTTGTTATAACCTGGCTATTGGAGGGCGGTTGTTTTTAACTTTGAATGTAGGTAAATCTTGATTAAGCTACCTAATTAAAATTATACAAAAAAAAATTCTCTATGTGAAAAATAACTATTACCTAACAATGTTTATATTAGTAGATGAAAATTATAGCTGCAAAAATCAAATCAAATTCAATCCATTGCACATCTTCTCCAAAATAGCCACATTTTGCCCTTTTCATGACTCAAATGTATGAAATAAAAAATACTTTTAGGCACTAGAGATTCTAAGGTACCTATCTATGTAACAATAGTTAATAGATGAGGTGTGAGCTGTTTCATTACAGTTAAGAAATCATATACCTACCTATGTCAAGAAAGAATCAAAAAATTTCAACTTGCGGTTTGTATGATATGAAGTTGTAAAAATATGAAAATTACAAATAATATAGTTTCTTTTTAAATAAACAATCTTATTGAATAAATTTGGCATATACCCACAAGCTATAAAAAAAATAATTCCCAGCAGAAGCATTATAAACTTAAAAGTAAATATAGCTAATATTTTCATAACTCATTCTCATCTAGGGTAGTATTGAAGCCCCAAAAGACGTCCCATGCATAATCTTCTGATGTTCACAAAATTCATCCTTACAATTAAAAGTCATCTTGCATAAAACACACAAACTATTTGCGTGCAACTCATCAACATGCTTGTTGAAATCTGCATCGGTTAAAAAAATCAAACCGCAAGTCGAACAATAATTCGAACAAGTTGGCATATCCAAATCTAAATGCTCAGCTTCTACATGCCTAGCAAAAGACAGGTTATCGGGAAAACGAGCTCTGCATAAGCTACAATTCACAAATTTTTCATAAACATGATTTTCCAATATATGCCGAGCCAGTTGATCTTTAGATCTAGTTTCAAAGTTACAATGGGAACATTTAAATAAGGAATTTATGTTTCTCTGGAAAATTTCTTCGTGGAAAATACTACAGTGCCTCACTAGGGCGGATTTCCATAAAGTGAAGAAACTGCAATATTGGCAATGATGGATCCGGACTTGATGTGCATGTTTTTCTTTGGTATGATTATACAAGCCTTTTGAAGTTTTATATCTTTTATCACAGAGTTTGCACTCGTAGAAACCATTGCTTGATTGTTTATTGAAGAATCTACAACAAGAAAAGTAGTTATCAAGCTAAAATATTTTAGAATGTCCGATAATACTTACCCAGGATTTTCTTCATAATCAGCAATTTCTTGTTTAATCTTCACTGTTTCATTTGTATTTTTTGATTCACCATCTGGCATTTTTCTTTCACTGAATTTATCAATTGTTCGTCTTTTTTTACAGACAAGTTTATACTTTAATTGTGTTGTATTTGCCTCTTCTGATTCACTTAAATAATTACTTTTTCGCCTTTTTATACTGATGGCATTTTTTATTGGCACCTGTTTTGTTTCTAATCCATTATCACCAATGTCGATTTCTATTTCTGAATCAAAATAAAGATAAAAATTAGTATGTATGCAACATGAATAATAATATTATTGATAAAAGTATATATTGGTATATTGGAAAAAAAAAATATATTTTTAAACATTAAGATATCGGTACCTACCTTCTTCTCTTTCTATCCTTGTGTCTGTTTCTTTTTCAATAAAATCTGGAAGAATACCAGCAGCAACTAAATCGTTTCTTGTCATATATTCATCTTCCTCATCAACATTTATATCTTCTTTACAGCTTCCACTACCATCAACATCACTCTCTGATGGTTCCACAGTTAATTCTTGAATCTCATTGACGTCTTTGCGATAATTCATTAATTGTAGCAAATTACTTGGGTTCTCGTTTAAAACGGTTAGTGTTTTATAAGAATCAGTATGGGCCGGTTTTGGAGATTTTTGTAGAATATTTGGTAATGTTATATCATGACCTGAAGGTTTTGTCTTTTTATTTTGAGACTCGGATGAACGGAATCTGAATTCAGTTTCTTCCTTTTGGCAAATTTGCTTCTTATTTTTGAGACAAGTATTGTTAACAATCACAGATCTCAAGACTAAATTATGATTGTCTCTTATTGACTCTAGATTAATAGAGTACAGTTTATTCTGGGTGTCCTTACATTTTTGTTTGAATTTTTCAATGCTTTTCAGGAAGTAGTAGCATTGTTCACATATTAAGGAGTAGTTTCCGATGCAGTTTTTCTGAAAATAATTAAAAGTTGCTAAGTAAATGTGGTAATATTAGCTTAATTTCAGAGAGTTATTATACCTAGATATTTTTAGTTAAATAATGTAGGTAGGTGTTCATCAGAGGGTAGCAACGCCACAGTGTTATCCTATAAGAACACTGAAATTATTATTGCTCTTATTCCAGGACATTGAAACTTAGTTTGCTATGGTTAATAATGGTCTAAGCTAGTTACTAAACTAGCAGAAGAAACTATTAAGCTTGCGATTATTGGTAAACTAGCTCAAAATTCGTACCATTCAGACCCTAAGCATGCTGCTTTCAAATGAAATGAACTATAGAAAGAGATGTGTTGGAGGCAAGTTGACAATGATGAGAGAATTTGAAAGCCAAAGATGAAGAGGAAATGAAAAAAAATTAAAATGCCTAAAGTTTTTGAGAAGCGAAAGCGATTAATGTACTTTCAAATATTAACTTTAGTAATCCCAGTGTTAATGGCCCAAGATAGTGTTTCAACTGCTATGAAGAGAATTGAGGGTAGATGTTCCAAACCCAGAAAATAAGGGTTTGTCTATAGTTGAAACGATCACCATAGTTGAAGACTGACCACAGCGTTCTTCTAGACAACAAAATCGAAATTGTGGAGGTGTGCGAGCTTAAGCTAGCAATCTCTACAAAATCCAACCCAAAACTGACTACTTACATCAGAATGTTAGGCTCTTTGAATTCCGCAAGAAACCACCCAAACTCAATTTCCAGAAAACATTTAGCAAAGTCGCATATGAGGGGCAAAACAAGGGGTGGCTTTTGGCATGGAGGATTGGAGCAAAAAATATAAAGTGAGTATTTTTGTATAGTACTCAAAAATCAGAGGCTAGTCTAGTCTAGAATCAAAATCAAATAGTTCCTGACTTGATTCTTGACAGTGTGGAGGAATATAGACCGACATCTGGAAATTATTTAAAATAGGTAGGTTAGATATTATTCTCAGTAAAGTTCTGTTAAGTATACCTAATATTTGTGATTGAGGGTCGGTTTTTGAAAACTAATTTTGAGATGTTTCAGAAGCATAAATAATATAACTGTAGATATAGGTAGGTAGTCCGATTTGTGATAAATTGTATTTTTTGAAACAGGTTTGGAAATCCTAGAGTTGCGAATATGAAACTTGTCCTAACATAGGAATCAGGAAAGGGTTTATTACTTAATGAGGATTACAGACAGTAAGTTCATAGTTTTTCTAGCTAGAATTCAATTCAACTTCAGCAAACTATAAAATGAATCGGAAAGTACCTACCTATAAATTCAATGTAAATACCTAGGTAGGTACTTACCTAGTTATTTCAATTTTGAATTATCTCTGAATTTCGTTGGTATACGTAAACAAATAATTATTAAACCATGGGCATAAAAAACAAATCTATTTTTTAAAATAAAATAAAAGTAAATAAAGTATACTTACAACTTCAGGGATGAAAAATTCCAAGACTGCCTTAACTTTCTCCAATTTCTTGAAAGAAAATTCATTTTCACACACATATAGGCATGTTCTGCATACGTGATTAACCATTTAAAAAATAAATGTCTCTTCGGAGAAATTAGAAAGAATAGTTTTTACCTACTTACTTAATGGAAATCGAGACAAACATGAAAAGATAAAACCACAGGCAAAAACAACAGAAAAACATCTATTATCTAACCACAGCAATGCTTTCAAAAAGCAATATATCAGCGTCGGAAGTTTAAATTATTAATTCAGCAGTTTACCAGATTTTTATCAATGTTAATTATGACACATCTATTAATAAAATAAAAAATGCAGATTATACAAAACTGAGGAAGGACAATATTGGTTGCCTATTAGTTACTACCAGTGTTAAATCGTTTAATGAAATCACAACCTACTAAAATAGTACCTAGGTACCTAAACCAAAACACTACACTGGGTACCATCCAAACCCAAACCACGTGACTTTGCCTTTGCCTCAGCCTCTTTGCCAATCAGCTGGCATTTTGAAATCTTTATGAGACATGATACAGGTACAGACCCCAAGCGAAAAGGTCGTAGTAGGTAGTAGGTAGCTAATAGTAGGTAATTGGGTGTTAGCAAAGTCTGTTAGGTACTTGTGAAGTTAATGTTAGTAAAGCAACTACTTACTCAGTGGAATTGATTTATGAACTTTATTGTTTTGTTTTGAAATTTTTGACTGATAAAGAGAGGGTGGTTTTGATCAGTATTTCCATGCATAGAGAATTAATTCTCTAACTTAGTAGCTGAGTAAATTTTCACACATTTTTGAGAGGCGGTACTTTGCAATGTAAAGGAAATACAGGATTAAGTACATCCAGTTTTTAAGGTGCTTTTGATTCTTTCATTAATTAGTTCAAAATTCTTCAAAATAAACATTAATTGATTAGAAACAGCACATGACAAAGTACCTATATGTAGGTACCTACTTCTTCTTACTTCTGGTAATATAATATAAATAGGTAGGTAAGTATACACCGTGATTGTCGTAGCCCGTGCATTAGAATTCAATTGGATTGCAGATGGATTAATAAAGATAGCATCTAATCCACCCGCAAGATAATGCACGGGTCCCGTAAATCACCCTGTATACATTATACCACAGACTTATTAGTGTGTATGTTGGTCTAAAGTTGTATACTAAACATATACATATAGGTAAATAGCTACATATTTAAATAGGTAATCTAAGCACTTTTCAGATCTTCCTCATAATCAAAATGGACAAGTCACCTTACCTATTTTGAGGTCGCAGGACAAAAATAGAACATCTGACAGTAAACTTTTCTCAATTATCAAATTTTCTTGATGTTTTCAAAAATTACCTAAATGAAATCATTGTAACGGATCCCCTAGGATAATTTCTGTTTTTCATTTACTACGTTTTCATAGAGTTTTGAAATCGTTTTGAATACGGTTTTGGTATTGAAAACACCATGAAAACAGGTACTGAATTCGATTTCAGTCTCAAGGTCGTTTCACCTTTTTTTGAGATCGAATCGAGATTTAATTTCAGAAACTTGCAATTCGATTTCAATTCTTATTTAGCCTATGCATGAAAACGGGGAAGAGGATTGGATTCAAAACGATTTGAAAACTCCATGAAAACGTAGTAATTATTTCTCAGATCGTTCTCAAAATCCCAGATCCCTCCTATAGAACGGGTTGTGATTAGTGATAATATACATACTCAAAGGCCTATCTCCCACATAACAGTGAACGAACATTCATATTCTCAGAATATTCCCTCAAAGTGCTTTTTGGAATGTTCTTTTAGGAATGTTTAATGAATATTCTTAGATTGTTTCGATTGAAATATTCATTTTTGGACGTTCTATTTATGTACTAGGAATGTTGCTTCTATGCACCTACCTGAAAGATTGTGCTAAGAACCTACTTTATATAACATTATCTGAATATTGTCACACGAACATTTTTATAATGTACCCTAAAAAATGTTCTTTCGGCTAATATCTCTATCAAGTATCAAGAATATACCTACCAAGTTGTGCTGAGAAGTTTATGTAGGTAGGTACCCATGATAAGAATATTTCCACATTGTTTACCTAATTATCTAAAGTACCTACTAAAAAATCTTAATTGAACAATTAAACAATAATACTCTATCTAGAACCTACTAGAAATATTATAGGTATATTCTTTTTGTTTTGCTTTGTAGGACTTCCAAGAGAGGGAGCCACGCGCTATTAATGACCTACATCTTGCCTTGCGTTTGAATCACCTTGGAAACTGTTTCTCTCAGTTGCCGTGCTTACCGTGACAAGAGCATAATAAGCTCGAAACCGGAGCTTTAGTTAAACACTGGTGCACTGGTGTTTTCCAGAGAAATTTTCCAACAACTCTTTCACTGCCTTTAATATAGGAGGACTGAAAGTAGCATTATTTGGTTGGATGCGGAAATTAACATTCCAAGTATGTCCCTATAAAAATATTCTTTTGAGAACATAACTATAATGTCATAGGAACATTCTTTGAATGTGAGAATATACATTTCAAGCATATTTTTAGAATCAAACAGGATTATTCTTTTCAGAATGTACTGAGAATCTCATACACTGAGAAAATCCCGCCAACTAAACGGTTTAGTTACTGTTTTTTTAGTTCTATTAAATAAAAATGATCGAAAATGTAATTGTAGTAACAAACCATGGTTATTTACTGCAGCAAATTTTTCTATTTTTTCCTCAATAGTTGTGATTAATATTCTCTTATTAGTAGCAATTGGAAACATTTGTTGTTTATTCAGTTTTACTAAAATTCTTTATTTGGACAACAGAGGTCCCTTCTGTGTTTAATAACTTCTAGTATTGAGTTATAATAACTAAAATTACTTGTACTGTGAAAAAGATTATTATTATCCACAACAATTTTTTGGTTAGCTATTACTAAAATGTTTAGTTAAATTTTGTTTTCGGGTAACCTCGGTTTCATTCGGTCGAGCATTTCTTTCCGAATTCTTTTCAGTTCCAATATTCATCAGGCACAACTCACAAGTCTCACGTCAAGGTTGACAAAAATCAACGACGATAGCAACTTACTAGCAAGAGCAAGAAAATATTAGGTACCTATAAATAAATAAGTAATTATTATTTTTTGTGCGTGATCATCGGGTGTCTGGTGACTGGTTCCCGTTGTGTGGGCTATCAATTGGTGCGGAGTGTTTTGTGATTGATGCTTTTTTATTGGCTAGCCAGGTGGGGACATGACGTACAAATTATTATTGCTAGAGTGGGGATTGGAATCGTTTTCCGATTTATTTTTAGGTACTTAACCAATAATAATATACGTTATTTGAAGCAGGTTTACGGCTTACGCAGCTCTCAAGCTAAATGCATAATGGATCATTCTGGTGTTAGTATGTATAATTCAACTCCTTCGTCTCCTTCTGTGCAACAGAAAAAAGTATTTTTATGCATGCAAATTCAGAAGCCTAAAGTAAAAGAGACAGTATATAAGTACCTACACCAATACCTATTGGATATTACCTATAAATAGGTACCTTACTTCCGTATGCATTGTGTATTATTATTTATCTTGACTTTGAAAGTTAGGAAGCTTGCTAGAAATATAAGTTTGTTGTATTTTCTTAAGTTGTTTTGATAAGAATTTACTTTTGAAGAATACCTATTTATTTATTTTCGGTAACCTTCAAAGTTGTTAATTTTACTAGGACCATAGAAAAGTTTATTTTTTTGTTGGTGATTTGAGATGTGATCTAGCAATAGTTTAACACGTGATGCCTTAACTACTAGACAGTCAGATAATGACAGATTACAAATGTAATTTTTTTTCGAATACATTTTTTTTCAAAACTATCAATTTGTTTATATTCTGTCTTAATTTCCAATAAGTTATACCTAGTACTCTACCTAGCAGTTAGGAAAACAAAATACATGAAAATTTATATAGAGTTAACAAAAAAGACAAAATTGTCATTCAAATCGCTTTTGTTTAAATTAATAAAAATAGTTAGTTAAAAAACAACATGAATAGGTACCTGCAGTATATAAATCTGAAAAGGACTATGATTACAAATAATTTTAAATTATAGTTAAAGTTGAAGTATACGTATGCACCTATAAAATATTTTCTTACTATAATTTAAAATCATTTTGTAATAATAGTCCTTTCGAGATCTATATACTGCAGGTATTTAGGTTGTTTTTCAACTAAACCAATTTTTTATTCTAACAAAAGCAATTTGTAATGGTAACTAAGTTATTTTTAGCCACAACTAAATAAGTTTTTCAATACAACAACATTTTTTTGCAACGGCAACTAAGTTGTTACTAGCCACAGCTAAATATGTTTTTTATTAAAACAATATTATTTGCAATGACAACTAAGATATTTTTAGCCAAAACTAAAATCTAGTTGGTTGTAACTGAACTTTTCAGTTGTGATGAACTAAACTGGTTACTATCTGCAACTAATTCTACTTAGTTACAGCAATAAGATACTCGACCAATTAACTATATTTATTTATTTGAGACGACTATGCTTTCTAGTAGATAAATTTTAGTTGTCGCAACAAATTTGGCTAGCTGTCCCCTATTTTATTAAGATTTTTTGCTGCCATAACTAATTTTTTAGTAATGGCTACGAGTTTTTTTTTCTCAGTGTAGGTATTTTCTGGGAATATCCTAATGGATTTCCCAGGAAGTTCTTGGGTATTGTAAACAGTATTTCTACAATTTTTTCTCAGAACATTCTCAGGACATTCGCAATGGTTTTGGCGAACATTCTAGGCACATTCCTCAAAAAAAAAAAGAACATTCTCAGTACATTCTAAGGATGAAATTTTGTTATGTGGGCTATTGATGATGGTGGATCTTGAAGAAAAAGAAACAGCTTTGTCAACAAATGAAAATATAATTGCAACAATAAAAATATGTATAACACATTTATCACAGCTCTTATATAAACTTTTTTTCCATTAATTTATTCTAAGTTTTAATTATTCCGCGTTGTGTAGTGTAGGTCTAGAAAAAATAAACAATTAGAGAATTTCGAAAAAGAACCCAATAAAAAAACTAATTACCTTGGTAGCAATATCCAACAAATTCTTAGCCATAGCCTTTCCAGTTTGTTCTACAAGTGAATAGAAAATACTCCGTTTATTTTGAAGTAATTCATAAGGATGAGCAAACTCGAGTGCTCTGCCAGCGTCCATTACCAACACCTTATCTGAGTCCATTATGGTGTGCAGCCTGTGAGCTATAGTTAGTACCGTACAATCAGCGAATTTCACTCGTATTGTAGTTTGAATTAAGCTGTCTGTGTGAGGATCGACACTGGCAGTGGCTTCGTCTAGTACCAGGATTTTGTTTTTACGGACAATGGCTCTCGCTAAGCAAACTAACTGTCTTTGACCGACGCTGAAATTCGAACCACCTTCTGACATTTTACTTTCGAGACCGTGGGAAAGATCACTGACAGCGGATTTAAGTTC